GCCATATGCAATGGCACCCTAGCAAAAAATCGTCTGCACTGGATAGAATAATATATCAGAAAGATGCTATGCCAGTCATAGGGAAAGATGGCAAGATGACAAGCTAAGGTATAAAAGACAATAAAACACTTTCAGACCCAATATTGAGGGAAACTGAGGGAAATGACCAAGATAGCATGTTATTTTACTTGCTCTAGTAGTAGAAAGCAGCAAGAAAAAACATTTTCCTTGGTAAAATCACAATTAGTTAAATGCTTAATTATGGCAAAGCGGCATCTTTACCTTCAACATTTCAATTTGAAAGCATACTCCCAAATGCAAATTTCTATCAAATAAACTAATAACATAGCAAATGTTAACTAATGAGCATAGCAAAACTGAAAGACTATTTTTCTGTGACGTTAAAGTCTACTGAAATTGCCTCTTAAGTATAGCTTTGCCATCACTTGAAAATTTATTTCGGAACTCGGATATTAAAACTTTTCCCCAAGCAAACAGAAACAAATTTGTATCATCAGGAGAGCTACCTTATATTTTTCTGTAGGGACAAACACACTTTATTGTCTTCAAGAGTTTCTTTCAGTTCTTTCTACCTTGTAACAGACATGGTAAAAGCATTAATGTATTAATACTTTACCTGCTACCTTGGGAAAAAATTGCATATTAAAAAAAAAAAGGCATTGATTGGCTTACATCCTATAAGCTGCCAAACAACCACAATTCCCCATTGGCCATAAAGCACCATGCATTTTGCAAGATCAGGATTCAGTGACAGAACTTCTGCCTTTAGATTAGCCATTAAAACAACAGTTCTTTTCATCTTTGAATTTATTTTATTAGAGTGAAAGCGAGTCATTACACCACAATAAATACCTCCAATGGATTCACATATGTTAATACAAATCAATATAAATGTGTCCCTGTTAGTCGGATTACTAGAGAGAGAAATATCTTGGCAGTCCTTTTTTTATTTTTATTTTTAAGTGTTCTCAAGAAAACTCATTTACAACAATGCAAACTAGTACTTTTTTGATCATATTTCTTTTTTTGCTGTATAATAGTTTCAGCAGCTACTGTCTCTCTTAAAATGTTTCTGCACTACTTAGACTCAACACTTCTATTAATATCGCTACCTCAAATTTCCCAAAGTATGTGTGCGGGAGCGGAGAAGCTGACGGGCCCCGAGACGCGTGGGGCGGGAGCGCCTGCGGTAACAGACTGCCCACGGCCCTGGAGGGCGGGGCACTTACTTACCTGTTCCAGGTGTGGGACCAGTGCCAGCGGCATAAAGGAGACACTGGAACCAAGGAGCAGGGGCGTGGAACCGGAAGAGCTGGGACGGGAGACGGTTGCCGGTGAGAGTCCAGAGCGGCGGATGCACGCCGGCACGCGCTGCCCTCACACGTTTTGGAGCAGGGGTAAGGCCCTGAGGGACTGTGTGATTCGGGGCTGTGGCCCCAGAAGTTAAAAGCCCGAATAATAGGGCCGGGAGTGTCTGGCACCGGCGGGGTGGGGCGGAGTAGCAGGAAGCCCCTAGGAAGAGGGGCAGTCGGACTGGTAACACCGCACTTGCGGTGAGGAACCGGGCAATCCCGGAAGGGGAAGGGGCCCCAGGAGGGGCAGAAGGCACCCTTCTAAGGGAAGGAAAAAGGGAACACGAAGTGAGAAAGGTGGACCTGGCTAAGAGTAAACACTGGAGCCCGAAGTCCACAGCTCCGGGCGGGAGCAGTATTTGTGTTTGACTTTTGCTGTTTTGGTTGAGGTTGCGCCCTGCAAAGGGGAGATTGGGACAATTGAAGCGGCACACAGGTGGTGGACATGCAAGGAGGCCCGGGCAAGGGTGTAGGGGTGGAGGAGCCCTCAACAGCGACAGACCCTGCGCAGCTCGAAGTCTCATTTTTGGATGTGCACGCGTTGGACAATACACTGAACTGGAGAATCATCAAAGTCGTGGCAGGCGGGTTGGGCGCATGTGGCTACTGAGTGAGTACTCCACATTGCCAGGGAACCCAGTGGGACTTTTGTAGACAAGGAGATGGACAGCTTCGTTCACAGTATGCTTACCTTTTCTCCACAATCCCAGAATGAATCATATTTTTCTTTCTGCCAGATGTCCAGCCTATCCAAAAAATAAACTCTTGCTGGATAAATATTACTGAGGCTCCTGTTCATATGCACTAGCATTTCAACATACCTTGTCCTGTCCTGTGCTGGTATTCAAGATATCCAAGGCAAATTTATCAGTTGGCCTTTGAGAACAATACTAAATCTTAACTTTCAAAAGCAAAGTTTCTGTTTCTTTGTGGAATGTCTAGAGCACTGATATCAGAGGATGGGATGTTTCAAGAAAAACTCTTTTTTCCTATCCATTGTTTCACTAGTTGACATAGCCATGTAGCTTTCTTTAAACTCCACCTTTTTGTGGCATTATGCAGAATGACTAATGGAGCACTCATAATTTTTGGGTCAAGAGCTTGCTGTGATGTGATCAAGCAGTTCTAGATGTTATTAAAAGCTTACAAGAATTAAACTTGTTGGAGTCTGCAACTTGTTCTTCAGGTAACAGAAATTTCATCAGTTTCAAACGGTTTGTTTGCAAGAACAAGGCAAAAAGGGCCAGAAAGGAAACAACATTTTTCACTCGTGCTATATGCATACTTAGGCACAGTTTCCTAGTAAACTGGATTAATTATTTAGTCATCTCACTGAAGACCTCAGATTCTGAAATGACTGCAGGTGATTCTATGTAATCTTAAAGGGGCAAGCGAGTTGGACTAGGTAGCCATAACCAGATATCAGATGTACTATCAGATATCCAGGTCCCAATATCTGACCTACAATACCTTTTCTACTATTTGGCTCAGGACTGATGCCAGCATATCTGGTTATGGCTACCCAGTCCATCCCACATGCCCTTTTTAGGTATTAGCAGAACTTTACCACTCTTCCAGTCTTTTAGAATTTCCCTGATATTCATTTATTTTAAACGGATAGCAACAGTTCAACGGCCTTATCAGCCAAATCTTTAAATTAAATTTAAAAAGTGGGTTTAAAAATGTTTATCACATTAGCGATGAGTAGGGAGTGCATGTGCACCCACTGAGATTGGCAGTGCATCCCATGCGAAAAGTGCTGCCGATGCTGCTGGAGGCACCTGCAGGCGGTCACCGCTTGTTACCCTTCCCACCCCCCCCAACACTGCCGGCAGCATTGGTGGGCAGTCCTTGATTGCCGCTGGCTGCTGCTGCCAGTGGCATCTGCAGTAGTTGGCACTTGCCACCCCTAACCCAACGTTGCTTCCTGCCACCGCCACCTGCGGGTGGTTGCCATGCCCCCCCAGCCTCCAGGGGCATGCAGTGTGCACGGTTTATCCCTTTTACTTGCTTTTAATATTCTCCATAGTTACTAATAGACTGAATAGCACTTCATCATGCCCAAAGAAGGGGAAGGTAGTGGCAAAAAAAATGGTCTTCAATTTTATTGTTAAAAAGACTGTGGATACTTTACACCGCAAAGATCATGAGTAAAGTACAATCTACTAATTAAAATATTACATACAAATCTATGCAACAAGAGAATAGAAGAGGAGGTTGCTTTTTTTCCCTCTCCTTATACTTTTCTCTCTGCCACACCTAAGTTGTGGGATTCAAATAAAATCTTGACCCTCCAAAAGGGTAGGAAAAAGAATTTATGGTACTTCACAAAATGAAATGAACTAAAATTCCAATTTGTTAGATACATTTTTGTCTGGTCTAATCTGCCTGAGAAAAAACTGTGTGTGATTACTGATATGTGAAAAGGCATCTGCTGACCTGGGAAAGCATTTTAAGCCCATGCTTCATTTTAAGTATGTGAGAACAGTTCTTAGGGCAGCCACTGACTCATCCCCAGAATACTGACCAGCCCCTTGGTGAGGGGTAGCTCCCCTTGGCTCATCAGTGGTGAGAGGTGGGACTACCACCACCTCAGCCAACCAGCATTGAGGGATGGGGGGGATGGGCACTGGGCCCCTTGGCCAATGAGCAGCAAGGGGTGGAGCCACCACCTCCCTCCCTTCCTAGCTCATATCCCCTCTCCTCCAGGCTTTACACCATCCTACCTCTAGGCACAGCCAACAGAATCATGAGGACAAATGAGTAACATATATTTCCACCAGCGAACTGAAAAACAGGACTTTTTGCTGTCCATTTCTGAATCAGAAATGGACAGGGTACAAAGGGCTTACAAACAGGATGGGCCGCTAATAAACAGGACCAGTGCCACCCTAGCAGTTCTCCTGAAGTACTACTTGCTCTTAAAGCCGAACACATGCAAAAATGGATCTGAGACATCTGCAGATAAGTTGAAATAGAACTGAAAAGTCAATTTATTTAATAAGCTATCTCTGAAAGCAAAATTACTAGACACCATAAAATCATATTCTGCCTATTTCATTGAGGATATAAACCAGTTCTGTTATTGGACATATATAGAATTGGTGGTTAGGCTTGCATACCTAGATAGGTCAGAACTGTCCAGGTATACAGACTAGTTCACAGAAAGCTGCATAAATGGTAGACAGAAGTCAGAGCACCAGACAGGCTCTTAAAACAAGCAACCAGGGAAGAATCAGCACTGCTACAGAGTTGGCTGAATGATGTAAGAACACAGAAGCACCTTCTAATTCCTGTTCACCTCCTTTCTCAACATTCCCATGTGGCTATCCGTGGGCAGAATTGGAAAGCAAAGGCAGAAGAGAAAAAGGAGGAAAAATCTATAGGAAAATAAAACTAACCAGCTGTAAATACTTATCTCAATGTTTCAAATGATAAGCATTAATCTCATGCTGGAAGGCTTAAAGGATTCTAATGATATTGACTTGTAACTAGGTAAAAAAATATACCTTCATTACACACCGACTATTCCAAGAAAATGTACAAAGGAAATAGGTGGTTGAGGTTCACATATTACCACCATTATCTATACTTTATAACTTTTTAAGTGAAATATTCATTACCAACCTTAACGCCAAAGTGTAAGTACCAGGTTGCCGTTGGCTTTCACGAATGAGGTAACTTCCTTCTGCAACACTTAATAACTGGTCGGCTTCTTCCCTTGAGATCATACCATGAAATCTAGCAAACAAAGCACATCTTTATTTGCAGTCAAAGATGTTTCAAAACACACTTTTCAGAATCTTACTTCATCTTTTTCTTTCCTCTTTTTTTTTTTTTTTTTTAAACAGCCACAACTATCTTGGGCTTTTTAAAAGAAACTCCACTGAAACTGAAGATATTTTCCAGGAATCTCTTTGTTATGTTAATTTTCTCTCCTTGCCTGGAATTTAACCCACATATTTATTTATGACTACTGGGTCTAGATCATTAAAATTGCTTAAATATATCAAGGGAAGAATGCTTTTTCTTCAAACTACAAACAAGTGTACCTCTAACATCAGTTTAGTAGATAGATCTGTCCATTTCACCCTATTGGCTTAATACTATGTGCTAGAGGGACCTACATATGTACTACTCTGGGGCAGCTTCATAATCTGCCAGGCACTGAGGATTTTAAATAATCTTCCAAATAATCTGCCCAATGTACATACATTTATAGCAAAGTAAACACAGAAATAAAATTTGGTTTAATTCTCTGTATGAAACGTAACCATCTGTGTGTAATAGTATGAAATAGAGTACCAGGAAATATAAATAATGTATATTTAAAATAGCATTTAACCTCTTATATGGTTCCAAAGAGATTTTTGCACACACAGATATGTTGCAGTAGCCACCATCTCTGTGGTGAAAAGAAGCCAGCATTTAAAACTACAGCACAGATAGCAAGCACTACGTTTTCCTGGCTAAAACAGCAATTGAAGACTACCACATCCATCTGAAATTGCAGGTGCAATTTCAGGTAGACAAAATAGCATTACCTAAATAGGAATCTGCAGGTAAGCAAGAAATACTGTGGTGAAGTGGAATAAAAGTTCTTCAATTCACATGCACAATGAGACAACTGATAGGAACATGGCACAGCAGAGTTGTGCAGTTACTGCTCAGGCTGTAGACACCAAAGGTAATGACCACAGCAAGGTTGTTCGCACATACAGTATGCTGAGCACCCCATGAGGCAGCCTCTTGCAAAGTCACCACCCTGCCAGGTAAATCGGCCTGCAAATTTAAACTAGCCCCACACTCCTGCAGGGTTAAACATACAGATGAGATACAGTGACTATGCAGTGAACTTCCAGAGCCTTCACTGAACATCAAAAATTAGTAACGGTGATTCACATTAGACTGTATTTTGCAATAAGATATTACTTACTCTCTTCCATAATACTTGGGTCTGTTCTCGACCTATTGAAAAAACAAACAGCCTTTTTAAGACATTAAGACATCACACACATAACATCTTTATATCTCATGATTTATTTAAAAATGGGAGAAGATGATGGTACCTGAAGGGATAGACAAAAATCATAATAATTTCACCTGGGACTTGTTTAGTAGGTAAAGTATATGAAACTATAATATAAGGTCCCACAACACACCCTGAAAATACTCCAAATATTGAACCTCAGGAAACACTGCATTTGGCTTCTGAAAAAAAGAGAGCAAAACTGAACCGCTGCCTTTTATGTCAGCATTTTAAAAAACAAATTAGTAAGCATATCCACATAGAGTATATGGAAATTACAGATTTTTTGAAGTTGATGCATGGCAATGTTTTATTAGCATAAATGTGTTGTATTACTTATTGCTAACAAATTATTAAAGCATTTAAGAAAATCATTGTAATCATGAATAATCTTAAGCATGCAACCATTCTTCTTCTGAGTTCAGAGCAGGGAAGTAGGTTTCAATAGCTTGGAACCTTAACTCTCACAATCATTGATAATCCAGCTAAAAAAGTGCAAAATATTCAAAGTTAATCTTCACTTCAGTTGCATCCTCACATTTTTTTCAAGCAAACTAAAAATAATAACTTATTTTTGTTTTCTCAATGTTTGTGATGTCAAAAATGAAAATATGATATAGTTTGGAAGTAATAATCTTTCTACATTTACAGAGAGCTATTCTCATGGTTGCTCTGTATTATTAGAGTGATCAATAATGCTCTAAAATGATTATTTTCCTTTATAAGAAGAAACTGTTTTGCTACTTAATTGTTAGCATCTGAATAGATTATCATATTTCAAAGGTAACAAAGGCCTTGTATAATGTTAGAGATCCTCTATGAGTAAAGAAACATATTTGCGTGTTAATTGTGCAAGACAGGCTAAACTTTGAGCATATCAGGACTTCCATTTTTGTCATGCTAATATTAACAGTCTAAGCTAAGTAAATGCAACATTGAGGCATTTTTTAAATATATACCTACTTCATTAAAATATGAAGCAATATGAAAGCAGACAAGATGAAACCCTTTTAGTAAATACTAATACATAAACACTTAATTATTCATATAATAGTATCAAGTCACTTTAGAGAATCAAAGAATGCTAGGCTGCTTGCAGATGGGGATGGGCGGATGCTTTACTTTAAACTCAGCACGCTCCCAAACTGAGCCTAGCACATGCCCAGAAGAGGCATTGCATTAATGGGACCTGGCTTTCTCAACTTCTATATATATTGGGCACTTTAGTGGGGCTTTTTTGAATCAGCTTTAGATAAAAGCACCAACAAGCCCTGCAGAAGCACCAGAATTTATACCAGTGGTTCCCAACCTTTCTTTGCCGCGACCCACTGCTGGCAGCAGAGTGCGGCAGGGGCAGCCTGGGGGCAGGGCGGCTCCTGGCACGTGGCACGGCTCGTCTTTTGTATGTGGCACCGCCGGTATTGCCCCCCCAACCCTCATTTGGGTTGCAACCCAAAGTTGGGAACCAGTGATTTATGCAGACACTGCTAAGCCAGGTCGAAGTAACACACTGCTGCTTCCAATAAAGTAGGTGTTCCCCCCCTCCCCCACGCTTGTTGGCACACACAGAGAAGTAGGGCTGGGACGGACCTCTAGAGATCAAGTCCAACTCCCTGCCTGAGGCTGGATCATACCTGTACAAATCTATTGTCTAACTTCTCAGCAAAACCACATAGTCAACCCTGACACAACACAAGACATAATACCCTAATCTGCCACAGCTAAAGCAAGGGGACCACAGTGGCCAATATCCTGCTGCTGTAAGGGTGGTTCAAATACACTTGAGAGATCCCAGGGAGAGGGCCATGTCCTCCACTACAGAGGAAGGCAGAAACTCCCACAGTCCATACCAATTTGATTATGGGGTAAAATTCCTTCCTGACTCCAAATTTGACAATTGGTCTGACCCCAAGTGGAGGGGCAAGACCCTCTAGCCAGGAACCTCCAGGTTTAGGTTCCAACAGAAGCACTGGCAAACCTCATACCAAATCCCCAGCCTTGGCTGCAGCCAACCCTAATGCCTTGGAGGAAGGCTTAAAAAACACCTGATACATGTAGTAGCAGGAGGGGAAAAATTCCCCCTGGCCCTATGTGGCAACTAGGAAAGCCCAGAAGCATGGTAAAAAGCCATAGACTAACACAGACATCTACACCTAGATAATTCTTGATCAGTGGCTGTCCAACCTTCTCTGCAATACTTCCAGAGATTGAGAGTCTACAACTTCCCTAGGCAGTGTATTTTACTGTTTCAACAGTGAAGAAGTTTTTTCCTGACATCCAACCTAAGCTTCTTTGCTGCAACTTTAAGCTAGTGGTTCATGTCCTACTCCCTGCAGCAAGAGAGAAAAAGTATTTCCCCTCCTCTATATGGTACGTAGGAAGGCAAAATACCTGCTGCAAAGAGTTTATAAAAGATAAATCCTGTCACAAATTGTCTTTAATAGCTGATTTTGGTTGCATGTTTGAGTCACTTACCAAACACAGCAGCACAATACAATGATTTTGTATTATAGGACTGGAGAATTTCCACAGGCAGAAGAACTCCATTTCAGAATTGTGAGATTAATGGTCAAAACTGGGGTCTTAACCTGGCAACTTCCCTCCTTATAAAAAGCCTCTATTTCTTCAGTAACCAACAGAAACGCTCTGCCCTCCCATCAATCCTCTCTGTTGGTTTACGGAAACAAGTGTGTCCAATCCTTCTTCCTCTACTTCTTCTCCATCGCTTCATCTCTGATCTCTTCCTTGTTCCAACTGATGTAGTATTTCAGTTCATGCAGCCCCAGCTTCAGGCACTTTCTTTCATTGAAAGATAACCCCTTAAACACACAGAGGTTAATTACTTTCCATAAACTAGTTTTAACACATGCGGTCACGGTTGCTGTCACCTAGCTTCCCCTCAATCTTCAGCTCGCTCACCAGATCATCCCCTTTGGCCAAAACCAGATGCAACAGTGCCTCTCCCCTAATTGGCCTGTAGACTTCTTGCATTAGGTAGAGGTCATCGATGCAAGCGAGAAAGCAACGTGACTGGTCAGATTCGGCCGTGTGCTCTTCTCATAAGGTGTGTTAAAACTTGTCTCATTCCTGTATGGGCCCATTAGATGCTCATTAATTTAGACTTGATTCTCTGCTTCTCTATACAGTAACCTTATCCAACATATAAATTTCTCTGAGAAACCCATTTTTCCTAGCACCTCAAATATATAATCATTATCCATTCTGTCATATGCTTTTTCTAAGTCTAGGTTTGCTATAACTGTTTGTGTTTGCCACTTTGATGTGGGGCAGTGCATCCCTGATCATCCTGATAGCTTCGGAGAACCTTCTACCTCAGGGGTAGGCAATTATTTTGGGCAGAGGGCCACTTATCGAGTTTTTGCAAGCTGTCGAGGGGCGCACAGGTAGCTCCACCCCTTGACAAGGGTCTCGCCCCCTGGTTGCCATCTTGGGATAGGAAGTTCCACCCCCTAACCCCTGACCTTTTGTACCAGAAGTCTCTTCCCTTGCCCCCAGAAGTACTCCTTTCAGCAATGGGTTTTGCCATCTCAGAACCAGAAAAATACCAAATTATATTCTAAAAAGCGAACATCTAAGACATTCATTACTTTGATTTCAAAAAATATTTTGTCCTGTTTTACATGCATTCCTGTAGTGTACACAGAGGTGATTGCATATAATAGCTTAGAATGAAGACTTAACCCTTGTATATTGTGTGTGGGGGGAGACTATAGGTTTGTGGCAAGGCTGTGGGCGGGTGGATGTGGGTACATCTGTGGGGGTGGGTAGGTGCAGGGGCTGTGGGAGCATGTGGCCGTGTGTGGATACGTGGGGTGTGGGTGGGTATGGAGGATGGCTGGGGTGTGTGAGATGGTGTGGGTGTGAGGGTGTACATGTATGGTGGGGGGTGTGTGTGGGACTCACCCTATGAAAATACACACACGCGCACACACATGCACCAGGGTACCAGCAAGGCCCTGTGCTCTCAGGCTGGCAATGCAGCTGGGAGCCACATGGTGCTGTAGCAGTGTTGGGGCAGGAAGGCAGGGAAATGGTTAGGGGTAGGGTGAGGCTGGGCTCCTACTGCCCCTGTCATCTTTGACAGACAGACAGGAGCAGATAAACGTTTTCTAAATTTTTCAGGGGTCCTGAGGGCTGGATAGAATGGCCTGGCGGGCTGTATTTTGCCCACCCCTGTTCTACCTGGTAGTGCGCATATTTGGTCTTCACGTATTATCTTCTAGAGGTTTTTCCTCATTCTTAAACCAGCATCTTGGCCATTAACTTATAGTCCATATTAAGGAGTGTAATCGGTTTCCAGTTTTTCAGAAGTTCCTGCTCTCTTTTCTTGAAGAGTAAGATTACAACACCTCTTATAAAATCTTTCCCTGCCTCTCCTGTTTCTGTTATTTCCTTGAACACTTCCACTTTATCCCTTCCCTATCCATACCCAAAATTTCTTGTAAAATTCCATAGGCAGTCCACCCATTCCTGATTTCCCTCTTTTAAAGGTTTTTAAGCACTCCTCCACTTCCTTTAAGTTTTTTTTTCCATCTTTGCTTCCTTCTCCTCTACTTTCTCTTTAAACTCTTCCAATAAATACTTCATCTTCTTCCTCTTTCCTTTTGCTGGTATAGCTCTTCATAAAATCTTCTTGTCACCTCCAACACATCCTCCTGCTTTTCCACCCAGGCACTACCTTCTTCCCACACTGCTTTAAGCTCTCCTTTTGCCACCTTCATTCTGCCTGAAAGGTATTGGGACCACTCTTTGTTTTCCCCCACCCAGTGTGCTTTTGCTAAGAATATTTTCACTCTTGTATTGCTTTTAAACCAGGTTTTTAACTCTTGCCTTGTTTCTTCTAGCTCTTCTCATACCCGTCTTCCTCCTGCAGCTTTCTTTAGCAGCACCTACATCTTTCTTTGCAGTTCTCTTAGCA